TGGTAGTGGTAGTGGTAGTGGTAGTGGTAGTGGTAGTGGTAGTGGTAGTGGTAGTGGTAGTGGTAGTGGTAGTGGTAGTGGTAGTGGTAGTGGTAGTGGTAGTGGTAGTGGTAGTGGTAGTGGTAGTGGTAGTGGTAGTGGTAGTGGTAGTGGTAGTGGTAGTGGTAGTGGTAGTGGTAGTGGTAGTGGTAGTGGTAGTGGTAGTGGTAGTGGTAGTGGTAGTGGTAGTGGTAGTGGTAGTGGTAGTGGTAGTGGTAGTGGTAGTGGTAGTGGTAGTGGTAGTGGTAGTGGTAGTGGTAGTGGTAGTGGTAGTGGTAGTGGTAGTGGTAGTGGTAGTGGTAGTGGTAGTGGTAGTGGTAGTGGTAGTGGTAGTGGTAGTGGTAGTGGTAGTGGTAGTGGTAGTGGTAGTGGTAGTGGTAGTGGTAGTGGTAGTGGTAGTGGTAGTGGTAGTGGTAGTGGTAGTGGTAGTGGTAGTGGTAGTGGTAGTGGTAGTGGTAGTGGTAGTGGTAGTGGTAGTGGTAGTGGTAGTGGTAGTGGTAGTGGTAGTGGTAGTGGTAGTGGTAGTGGTAGTGGTAGTGGTAGTGGTAGTGGTAGTGGTAGTGGTAGTGGTAGTGGTAGTGGTAGTGGTAGTGGTAGTGGTAGTGGTAGTGGTAGTGGTAGTGGTAGTGGTAGTGGTAGTGGTAGTGGTAGTGGTAGTGGTAGTGGTAGTGGTAGTGGTAGTGGTAGTGGTAGTGGTAGTGGTAGTGGTAGTGGTAGTGGTAGTGGTAGTGGTAGTGGTAGTGGTAGTGGTAGTGGTAGTGGTAGTGGTAGTGGTAGTGGTAGTGGTAGTGGTAGTGGTAGTGGTAGTGGTAGTGGTAGTGGTAGTGGTAGTGGTAGTGGTAGTGGTAGTGGTAGTGGTAGTGGTAGTGGTAGTGGTAGTGGTAGTGGTAGTGGTAGTGGTAGTGGTAGTGGTAGTGGTAGTGGTAGTGGTAGTGGTAGTGGTAGTGGTAGTGGTAGTGGTAGTGGTAGTGGTAGTGGTAGTGGTAGTGGTAGTGGTAGTGGTAGTGGTAGTGGTAGTGGTAGTGGTAGTGGTAGTGGTAGTGGTAGTGGTAGTGGTAGTGGTAGTGGTAGTGGTAGTGGTAGTGGTAGTGGTAGTGGTAGTGGTAGTGGTAGTGGTAGTGGTAGTGGTAGTGGTAGTGGTAGTGGTAGTGGTAGTGGTAGTGGTAGTGGTAGTGGTAGTGGTAGTGGTAGTGGTAGTGGTAGTGGTAGTGGTAGTGGTAGTGGTAGTGGTAGTGGTAGTGGTAGTGGTAGTGGTAGTGGTAGTGGTAGTGGTAGTGGTAGTGGTAGTGGTAGTGGTAGTGGTAGTGGTAGTGGTAGTGGTAGTGGTAGTGGTAGTGGTAGTGGTAGTGGTAGTGGTAGTGGTAGTGGTAGTGGTAGTGGTAGTGGTAGTGGTAGTGGTAGTGGTAGTGGTAGTGGTAGTGGTAGTGGTAGTGGTAGTGGTAGTGGTAGTGGTAGTGGTAGTGGTAGTGGTAGTGGTAGTGGTAGTGGTAGTGGTAGTGGTAGTGGTAGTGGTAGTGGTAGTGGTAGTGGTAGTGGTAGTGGTAGTGGTAGTGGTAGTGGTAGTGGTAGTGGTAGTGGTAGTGGTAGTGGTAGTGGTAGTGGTAGTGGTAGTGGTAGTGGTAGTGGTAGTGGTAGTGGTAGTGGTAGTGGTAGTGGTAGTGGTAGTGGTAGTGGTAGTGGTAGTGGTAGTGGTAGTGGTAGTGGTAGTGGTAGTGGTAGTGGTAGTGGTAGTGGTAGTGGTAGTGGTAGTGGTAGTGGTAGTGGTAGTGGTAGTGGTAGTGGTAGTGGTAGTGGTAGTGGTAGTGGTAGTGGTAGTGGTAGTGGTAGTGGTAGTGGTAGTGGTAGTGGTAGTGGTAGTGGTAGTGGTAGTGGTAGTGGTAGTGGTAGTGGTAGTGGTAGTGGTAGTGGTAGTGGTAGTGGTAGTGGTAGTGGTAGTGGTAGTGGTAGTGGTAGTGGTAGTGGTAGTGGTAGTGGTAGTGGTAGTGGTAGTGGTAGTGGTAGTGGTAGTGGTAGTGGTAGTGGTAGTGGTAGTGGTAGTGGTAGTGGTAGTGGTAGTGGTAGTGGTAGTGGTAGTGGTAGTGGTAGTGGTAGTGGTAGTGGTAGTGGTAGTGGTAGTGGTAGTGGTAGTGGTAGTGGTAGTGGTAGTGGTAGTGGTAGTGGTAGTGGTAGTGGTAGTGGTAGTGGTAGTGGTAGTGGTAGTGGTAGTGGTAGTGGTAGTGGTAGTGGTAGTGGTAGTGGTAGTGGTAGTGGTAGTGGTAGTGGTAGTAGTAGTAGTAGTAGTAGTAGTAGTAGTAGTAGTAGTAGTAGTAGTAGTAGTAGTAGTAGTAGTAGTAGTAGTAGTAGTAGTAGTAGTAGTAGTAGTAGTAGTAGTAGTAGTAGTAGTAGTAGTAGTAGTAGTAGTAGTAGTAGTATTATAATTATTATTATTACTATTATTATTTATTATTATTATTAGTAGTATTACTATTACTATTATTACTATTATTATTATTTTATTATTATTATTATTATTATTATTTTATTATTATTATCAAATAATTATAATAATAATAATAGTTATTATTATTAATTTATTATAATTATTATTGATATTATTTATTATTATTATTATTGATATTATTATTAGAATTATTATTATTATTAATAATATTATTATATACCGGTTTAGAAAGTAAAGATCAGATCAGAAGCATTCAGATCAGATCAGAAAAATTCAGATCAGATCAGATCAGATCAGATCAGAAAGATTCAGATCAGATCAAATCAGAAAAATTCAGATCGGATTAGATTAGATCTTAAAAAATCAGATCAGAAACATTCAGATCAGACGAAGAGAACAACTTCTAAATTTAACTTGTCTAATATGGATTATAAGAAATAAAACATTGAATTCCATGAAAATAAGGAATCTAATTGCTCAGTTACTTTACATAAATAGTGAATATGTTTAGTTTTTAATATTAAGACCATAAATAATGTTTTTTCTTCTTAAAATCATTTATTTTGCCAAAAAATCGTTTTTTCGCCAAAAAAAACATTTTTTTTTTGAAAAAAACTGATTTTTTGTTTCAATAGCAAGAGATTACTTAAATAGTGAATATGTTCTGTTTTTTATATCAAGGCCATAAAAATATTTTTTTTAAAATCACTTTTTTTGCCCAAGAAATCATTTGCTTTGCAACAAATAATATTTTTTTTACATAAAACTGATTTTTTATTTGAATAGCAGGGCTTTATGATGTGATGTAACTCATGTTATAGAAAATTTAACTCGCCTTGATGGAAAATCTAACTTAGGTGCAGTGGCGGATCTACGTTTTGAGCTTTGGGTGTTCAATTTTTTTTAATTAAAATTTGAAAAGACAATAAATAATTTAATTAAAGTATATGTGTATACTAACATTTTTTTCAAAATTCTAGGTGTTCATGTGAACACCTTTGAACCAAGGTGGCTCCGCCACTGCTTAGGTGTATGAAAAATGTAACTTGTTAAGACAAGTTTAAATGTAACTCGCGTATAAGAAGATTTAACTCACGCATAAAAAGATATAAGTCGCGCATAAGAAGATGTAAATCCATAGACTATCAAATGTAAAGAATGAAAACAAGGAGACTAATTGCTCAAATTAATTTACGTAAATAGTTAATATGTTTTATTTTTAGTATTAAGGCAATAAAAACGTTTCAAAGAAAAATAACTTTTTTGCCAAAAAATCATTTTTTTTTGCAAAAAAAATCAGGTTTTTGCAAAAAAAATCATTTTTGTTTGCAAAAAATTGATTTTTTTTATTTCAATGGTTGGGGTTTATTTTGTGATGTAACACGTGTTATGAAAAAGTGTAACTCGTGTTGTAAAAGTAACTTGTAATTTAATTACAAGTTACATTTTGCATACACCTAGGTGTATGCAAAATGTAATTTGTTGAGGCAAGTTCAAATGTAACTCGCGATAGGAAGATGTAATTCATATCATGCACAAGAAGATGTAATTCGCTCATAAGTAGATGCAACTCCATATACTATCAAATGTAAATAATGAAAATAATGAGTCTAATTGCTCAATTAATTGAAGTAATTAGTTAATATGTTTTGTTTTTAGTATTAAGGCGATAAGGTCATAAAAAATGTTTTAAATGAAAATAATACACCAAAAAGTGTATGAAACAAGTGTATGAATATGAAAAAAAATACAAAAAAGTGTATAAATGTGAAAAAGATTACACCAAAAATAAATTTGTAGTACTTATTTTATGTGGATTAGGAAAATTTTGTAATAAATTGGTAAAGAAAATAGTTAATTTAATTGTAATTTAATTAGTTAAATATAAATATTAGAAAAATCAAAATTAGTTTTTAATATTTAGATAGAGAGAAGAAAATAATTGAAAGAAAACAAAAAAGAAAAATAAAGAGACGATGCTCCAAAGAAATCTGGAGTGATTAAGCCTTGACGGGAAAGAAAGGAAACTAATGTACATAGTGATCCAGAGAAAGAAAAAACGGTGTCATATGTGATACCGATATACCATGTGCATGGTATACCGATACCACAGTATAATTTGCGCTAAATACTATAGACAGAAATATTCACATTGTATTGGTCGAATCGATAAAGTGAAGATTTTACTAAGCTTGGAAAACGATCATAAAAATTGAGTCTATGTAAATCTCTAATTTATAAACGAAACATAAATTTATAATGAAATGACATTAATTAAATATCCTCTAGAGAAAGGTTCAAATTATTTGATAATACCCTTCCTTTTTATTTAGTCATCTAACTTTTTCAATAAAAAATGATAAAATTTGATCCATTATTTTAATTAATATATTTATGTAAAACTCAATAAATATATACTATTATGATAGTATATTTTTAACAAAGAACATTCATATCATTTTCATATTACCGGTCAAAGTTTAGCATCAATGACTTGAAAAGTCAACTTTGGCTAAATAAAGGGACCGAGAGAGTACAATTTACATGGAGATTAGATAGATAGAAAGACATTTTAATTTTTAAACATCGAGTGCCAAACAAATGTCACACACGACACTTAATGCCACAAATGGTTTATAGTAACAAAGTGCATGGTACATTTGGTACGTTACACCATACAACATAAGTGTGAGTTAGCCCTCCTTGTTTCCAAGTAAAATGGGAGTAAAAAGGCTGGTTGGTTACAGATTGCAGAGTATGACAATTGGGTATATCGAATTTGCATTCAAATTTTACAGTGGCCCAAATTTTACAGTGGCCCAAATTTTACAGCTGTATATACCAGGCCACAATATATACGTTTGATGTTTACAAATCGGGTGGGGGGAGAGACGTCTAAACCTTTTGATCGCATTATGTACGCTGTCCAGTATTCTATAGCAATATTACTATAGGGAGGTTACTCAAGATCGACAACACAGGCTGCTGCTGGCTTCTATGATTCCTCAGGCTTTGGTTCTAGAATGACAGGTATCTTTTCCTTGTGATCACCACGTAGGACTTCCACCATCACCTAATTCATAAAGGAAAGTTGGGGGGAGGGGGGGGTGTCAACTGTCAAGAACTGAATTCTTTCTATGAACTCGCATTGGGGGGTAATTTTTTTAAAAAAAAATTATTCGGTAACAACCTTTTCACCCACTTTGCATTGGTCCAGAATTCTGTACAAATCGGAGCCATTGGAGACTTTTTTCCCATTTATAGAAGTAATTATATCCCCCAAAACAAGCCTGCCAAATCCATCACGTTTAGTAGCTAGAAGCCCCTGCAAAAGAAGAACACAGAAGAATAAGCATTCGTTAACATCAAGGTGGTGACGTGGTGTGGTGTGGCTACTCACATGCTAATCTTATATCATAGCCTACATTGCCCACACAAAGTAAGGTGGTACATTTTGGGAATTAATATTCAACAAGCGGAATCAGTATCAAGGAGCATATGGCCACCAGCCTCTTCAATTGTAAGTGCTCCTTGGAATTGATCAAGGATCACTACCTAAAACTGATTAATTGATTGTGCTTCATAAAACACCCCATAACGAAGCCATTCTTAACTTTAATTAATTTATAAATTACAAGCACTGGGAAAATCAAATACCAATTACCAAGTACTACGTATTAGAAAGTAATGTAATATTGAGCTTACAGCTTTCCCGGCTGGACCATTTGGAGGAGCATCCAAGACAAGCACCCCGCTCACTCCAAGTTGCTCTACAGACTGATCTGGAGCAAACTTAACACCCAAAATTGGTCTGGTCACTTTCCCATACCTTACCAATTGATCAACAATGCCACTTACCTGCATTTAGCAATCTGGTCATTAGAATGCCACCGTCGATACCCCAACTCAGCACACATGGGGGGGGGGGGGGGGGGGGTACCTTTTGACATTTTCAGAAAATGGTCAGCATTAACTCTCATTCAAGGAATACGAAACACATAGGAGGAACTCACAGTGTCAACAGGAATTGAAAATCCAACACCAGAGGATGCGCCGGAAGGGGAGTAAATAGCTGTGTTTATGCCAATTAGGTTTCCTGAACTATCAAGAAGTGGTCCTCCACTATTCCCTGGGTTTATAGCAGCATCTGTCTGAATAACGTCTTGGATTGGGCGGCCAGTTGCAGCAGAATTAATTTCTCTTCTCAGGCCACTGCATGGCATGAATTGGACAGCATTCAGTGACATGCAAGTGTAAGAACGGTAAAAATCATAACAGGAACCACTACAAATTTCTCTTATTTACCTGATGACACCGGTAGTGAGTGTATGATCAAGACCAAACTGCAAATATAACTTTTTCAATAAAAAAATCGAGTATACACCAATATAGGTAAAATTCTGCACATACAGAGTGGCCAAACTATTCTATGTAATTTGTACATAGATGAGAAGCAACAACCACATTAACAAAGATCAAAGAACTATCTAAAATTCCTTTGGAATTACTTATTACCTATGACTCTAAAAGTAGCAGGTACCGACACATGAGAAACAAATTATGAAAGTATTTAACTAAGCAAAAATTCATGGAAAGTCATGTTTCTTCACTCTCTTGCACCAGTACTGACAAGTGATGCTATGAAATGCATAACTTTAGAAAGGTACAACTCCCAGCATTCCATCACAGTTTTTAATTTATTTGTTTATTAAACTAAATTTAGCATAATCAACTTGTTTAGGCCATGATAGGAATCAGGCCATTAGACTAATAAATAGAAATAATAATAATAATAATAATAATAGTAATAATAATAATAAATGAATATGTAGTATAAATAGACGGAAAGGGGAGTTGGTTGAGGAGGCTGTTTTAGGCGTAGTCTTGGGACTTGGGAAGATTGAGATTCACTGTCTCTCTCTTTTGGGGGCTTCGGCCATTGTTGCTTGTTACATTCAATAAAGTTATGGAGATTTCTTCTATATTGTTTCTGTATTTTTCTGTGAAATTGTTGTGATCTATCATTGGTATCAAAGCACGTTACTTCCTGGAGACGGAGAATCTAAATCATCGGAACGATGGAGGAATTCTATATGACACCGCAAATGGAAGAAAGATTTGACAATCTGAATCGACAGACCAAAGAGATGTCAGTGGTATACAAGGAGATGAACGCTAAGTTGAAAAGTATCTTGCACGACTGTGAGCGTCTAAATCGTAGATTGCAGCGATCGAGCAACACCAAGCATCATCGGCGTTCTGATAAACAGAGTCCATCGCATTGTTAGGTTATGGCTAATTCTACAGTAATTCTGAGCTCACCGAAAGCAAAAAATGACGACGAAGATCAAAAGTAGAAGTTTATTGTTTAATGGAAAGAGAAAAATACAGTTCCCAGGTTGTAACAAAGTTCCGACTCCCAGTCCCAAGCCCAAGATAATTCCAACCTCCTCTCTATTCTACCATCCACCTCTATTTATACTAATTATTCTAATACGATTATTACTCTCATTTATTATCATTCTATTCTATGTAGATCCCTATCACGCATTCGCTCACCAAGTCGCAGAAGGAGTCGCAGAAGGAGTCGCGAACTACTTCGCTTGGCTCGCAATCGCGAACTTCTTATCACTGTTCACAGTCGCGAACAGTTTCTTTCAGTTCGCAAACTTCCTCACCAGCCATCAGTTCACATCAAAGAAAGACGCGATTGAGAGGAGAAACTTCTTCGTATAAAGTCGCTTCTCGGAATTCAGCTAGTTCTAAGGAGGAATTACCGCTATTCTATTGAAGGAAATAAATAATTGACATTTAAGACATAATATTGCATTTAGCCGTTACCTATGTAGCACCGATACCGGTACGCGGAATCGCGGACACGGGTACGGGGATACGGCAAAACAAAAAAAAGTAGGATACGGATACGGGGCCATATTCATAAATATTAAAAGTTATGGGGGTGTATTTACAAATATTAAAAGTTACAGGGGTGTATTTATAAATATTAAAAATATTTTTTTTGGAAATATATACATATAATATCGTATGAAATATACAATTTTTTTTTGGATATATATATATCCTATATATACATATATACTCATTCATTACATATACATCATAATATTTCTAATATACACTAGTGCATCTCGAAATATAAATGTAGACATGTAGTCGATAAGTCATTAATTTAAAATGAGAAATAAGTTAAACAACTACAATTTTGAAATTAAAAGTGCAAGTACCAAAGTTCTAGAATAATTAAGATAGAAAACAATATTTTAGAAGCTCTAACTTCTACTCCCTCCGTCCCCCTATTATTGTCTCATTTCCTATTCACTTGTCAAAACAAATCACTCTTAATCTCTTACTTTATTTATCAAATTTTTATCAAATTTGATTCTGGTTTTTACGACTTTGTAAACCTTTTAATGTAGTAATATATATTTTCACCGGAAGTATTAATTTCTAGGAATAATATCATCTTCCAAAAAAACGGCCTCCAATACTGGGTTAGAGATAGGCTTCTGGACTTGCTTAGTAAATTAGATACGGAGTATGAGTTGATGACTTGATTGAGTTGATTCAGATATACCATATAAGCCCATTATTTGATTACCAAGTAAAATGTTGTTTTAGATTTTCATTTTTTTTAGAATTTTATTAAGTAAATTTTGGGTTTTTTTATTCAAAAAAGTTGATACGGGTATCCGTCAGGATACGAGTATCGGAAACTTTCAAAAAATTACAAAAAAATGGAAACTTTTAAAAATTACAGATACGGCCCGGGAACGTACGGTACGAGTATCCTAGAGTATCGGATACGGGAACGTATCCGATACGCCGATACGCTACCCTAGGGAAGTATCCGTGCTTCATAGGCCGTTACATATCTCTATCATTATTATTGTATTATGGTATCAGAGCGTGATTTAGAGCGTGATTTAGAGCGTGGTTCCAATTTATGAGTGGTATAAGGACGTAATCAAGGAAAACACTGACACCCAAAAACAACAAGTTTATTATAATTAGGAGTTTGTTGGAAGAGTTTTTCATATGGAGTGCAGAAATTAAGAGAGAGAGCAGGTTGTCTATTAATAAGGTACACAACTGTAAGAAAGGCATAGGACCAATATTTAAGAGGTATGGACGCATGGTGAAGTAGGGTGATACCAGTTTCCACAATGTGACGATGTCGACGTTCAGCAAAGTCATTGTGTTCTGGAGTGTAGGGGGAGTAAATAAATGAGAAATACCACATGTGCTTAGGAATTTCCTTAAGGTTATGTATTCGCCTCCCCCATCAGAATAAACTGTTTTAATTGTGCGTTGAAAAAAGTTTTCAACAATCTTTTTAAACTGCTGAAAGAGTGGAGTGACCTCGCATTTATGAGCCATAGGATAAAACCAAATATATTTGGTATAATGATCGACGAAAATAACATAGTAACGAAAGCCATCAACAGAATTAACACGAGCGGGACCCCAAACATCTGTATATATTTAAATCTAAAGGTCCAGAACTCGTAAGAGATGATTTTGCAAATGGAAGCTTATGGCTTTTATTACTAGCACACGAGACACATAAGGAATTATTTGTAGAAACATTAGAAAAAGAAATACCTAAGGAAGAGAGATTTTTTTTGTGATAGGGAGAGCAGGATGTCCTAAACGACAATGCCAATTATTAAGGGAAAATTTTTGTGTGATGTGAACGGATGGAGATGCTGGAGGGGGTACATCTGGCAAGCTGTAGACGTCTCCTTTATTCATACCCCGTAACAAAATTGCTCCCGTTCGCCGATCCTTAATAAGACAAAAGGAAGAATGAAATTCAATTAGTACGTCATTATCACGACATAATTTGGCGACAGAAATTAAATTAGTATGAATAGAAGGAACAAAAAGAGTACTAGGTAGGGAAAGAGAGTGAAGGGTCATATGCCCGACTTGTGCTATCGCAAGACCTTTACCGTTACCAATAACAAGAGAATCAGTGCCAGTATAATCGGATGCCAAGGTATGATTATTCAGGTTATTGGTGACGTGATTGGTTGCTCCAGAATCAAGTAGCCAACCATTGTGATGAGTGAAACTGTATTAACTTGGGGAGGATAAGCTTGTTGTTCAAAACGATGCCAACAGTTGATAGCAGAATGGTTCGGTTTCCCACAAATTTGACATGTAACATTGGGCCCGAAATTACCAATCCCCGAACTGTTGCGGGCTGTCTGATTGCGTGTAGGACCCCCAGAATTGTTATTGCCACGTCGGTTGGGATTGTAATTAGTATTTGGTCGCTGGTTTCTGGGTTGATTCCGATTAGTATTGCGGACTGAATAATTAACCAGATTGGGTTGCTGTTGAAATTGGGCTGGTGGTCCAGGGCCCAAAATGGACGGGGCTGAATCTCTGCGAGCCACAAGTGCTGCCGACTCCCCTGTACTCACGTTATTAGCCGTCACCACAGCGACGGAGGAATTAACTTCTTCTTTCCGCTTCAAGGAGTCTTCGAAGCCAGTGAGCAGTGTATGGATCGTCTTAAAGCTGTGGTCGCTGCAGGTACGAATGGAGTTAGCAAACGATGCGAACTCAGGTCGGAGTCCCTCCAGTGCTTGAACGACGAAGTCTTCTTCATCAATAGGGCGGGCGGCCTGAGCCAACTCATTGGCGAGCGTGCGCAAGTGATGGAGATACGCTCCCACTGGTTGAGAGCCTTGTTGGTAGTGGCGGAAGGTGTCCTTCATGTTGCGGATTTGGGATGGTGAACGAGTCCCATAGAGTTCCTCTCGAGTCTTCCAAACTGCGGCAGATGTGCGAGCAGACCCAATCAAAGGTTTACAGGTTGAATTCAGGGAGGCTACGAGGGCATGTCGGATAAGCCGGTCTTGCCTAGTCCACCGGAGATGGCCATCAACATCACTCTTCGATGGTGGGGTAGCATCATCAGATATAAACTGATCAAGATGCGACCCAAAAAGAAGATCCAGAATCTGATCCCGCCATACCAGGTAATTTGAACCATCAAGTTTTTCTGGGAAGTGACTGGGATTTAACAGGATTAATCCATCTGGGGTGAGAGGTGTTTCAACTGAGGTTGAAGGGGTATTTGAAGGGATAGGTGTACTGGTAAGGATGTTGTCTAGGTTTCCTTGCTGGAGGAGAACCTCAGGCTGGCTGTCGTTTGTTGTCATAGGGAAGAGGAAAGGGGCTGGTTAGAGCTCAGAGGCTCTGATACCATAATAGAGAAGAGAGGAGCAAATGATTTTTGTATATTCAATGATGATCAAAAGGGTTTACAATAGGTGCTATTTATACAATCACTAATCAAGTCTATAAGGTAGGTAATAATACAATAATAATGATAGAGATATGTAACGGTTAGATGCAATATTATGTCTTAAATGTCAATTATTTATTTCCTTCAATATATTCAACGAGGATAAAGTATACGATTGGATAGATAGGATGGAAAGATACTTCCAAATCAAAGTTATTGCAGAAAAATTTAAGGTTTACGTCGTAGTTGAGGCTATGGGGGAAGGGGCGTTTGGATGGTTTCAATGGTGGGAATCTCAAACGAGAGAAGATAGTTGGAAGGCTCTAAAGGAAGCGGCGATTAGGCATTTAGCACCTAAATGCTGGCAGAAGACAGGGAGGACAGAAAGCCAAGAATCATCGAGGTCGCAAAGAACTTCTTCCAATTCGCAATCCTCTACGCGAACTACTGTTACTCCATGTTCGAAATCGAGTACCGCATTGCCCAGCTCGCTAATTGCTCATCATCCTCGATCGTCATCAGGAGAAATGTCTACTGGTTCACAGATTTCAGTCCAAGCAGTGACTCCCAATACGCTACTTTCAGCATACCTAAAGCAATCATCCAATTCAGAAGCTATAAATGTAGGCACAACAGGAGAAGGATCTACGGGGGGACCACAGTTGGACATGAACATTGAATTGAAGTCGTCTGCACTTTCAGTTCAACAATTGGGAACGAATGATGATATTCTGGGAAGGGCAGAAAGCGTTGAGTCATCTAATAAGCCGAAAGATTCCGAAGAGCACAGATCAAATAACCTTACCTATGAAATTCGAAGGTATGTTAGTGGTCTTGACCCATACCCAAAATATTTTAAATATATGATGGGTAAAGCTTGTTTCCATCATTTGCAATGGAGCTAAAGACTCACTATTTTTTGGCTTGAGAATAGGATGGAATAAAACAAAATGGCTTAGTAAACTGTCTGCGATTCTTTGTTATGAAGCAACCGTCAGTCCATGCAATTTTTGGCGCGATTTTCACTATGGGTCATCCGGAAACAGTCTCTATGTGCTTTAGTACAGGGGTTCTGTGCTTTAGTATAGGAGTAAGACTGCGTACATCCGATCCCCTCTTACCCCACTGAAGGTGTGGGAGCCTTTGCGGCACTAGGGTAATGATGATGATGATGATATGATGGGTAAAGCTCATGAACTGGAGTTGGGTGTCCCAATAGATAGTGTGCACCATTCTTCTTCAAAGGGGATGTTGGAAGGGATGAAGCAGATTGAGGGTTTCAAAAGTGATAATGAGAATTCTAGGAACTATGTTCGAAAGGAGTTGAGAGTGGGATTGACTGAGAATGATAAGGGAAATGTAAGGGAAATACCAGTGGTCTGCTTAATTGTTCCCGATGGGGGTGTAGTTTGTGGCTATGGGTTTCAGATGGCTATTGCGGGTAGAGAGGTCAGGGCTACAGATGACAAGAAATATGATACGTTGGGTGTAGTCTACATTGCACTTCGTGTTATTGATCCTAGGTGGGGGATTTATAATGGAAATCCAGTTTTTGTGACTACCCAACTAAGAGGCTCTTCCAACTGTTTGACTAAAGACGAGAGTGATTGTAAGCCATGCGGCCCAAAAGGCAAAGAATATATTGCAGAGTACCCTTATACCAGTTGTCTATCCATAGTGGAAACTGCAGCAGGTTCTGCACCTTTCATGTCACTGTTTGCACCTATCAGTTCTGGATCACAGGATTCTTGTTGGAAAGCTTCCGTTAATACCTCTGCAATTATTGTTCCTTCTGTTCTTATCAATCCCAATATGTACATGACAGAGGCTACAAATTCAAGGAGTAAAACAACTGAATCTCAAGGGCTTGAGTAATATCCTGAAGCAAGAGATAATAGCAAATGGAAGATTAGGCAGTTGGTGATTAGTAAAGCCCAGTTCCAGCATAAACAAAGCCACCCAAGGGGTAATTCTGTTGTGAAGTGCATGTGGAAGAAGATGAAAGTAACCAAATTAAAGAGCCAGAAATCAGTCAAATATTGGGAAGGGAGAGGCACAAAGCGGAAGAAAAAACAGAGAATCTTGGCTGTTTCCTATCACCCACCTTGAGGGCAAGGTGGATGTTTAGGGGGGAGTATTGATAGGAATCAGGCCATTAGACTAATAAATAGAAATAATAATAATAAAAAAAAATGAATACGTAGTATAAATAGACGGAAAGGGGAGTTGGTTGAGGAGGTTGTTTTAGACGCAGTCTTGGGACTTGGGAAGATTGAGATTCACTGTCTCTCTCTTTTGGGGGCTTCGGCCATTGTTGCTTGTTACATTCAATTAAGTTCTGGAGATTTCTTCTATATTGTTTCTGTATTTTTCTGTGAAATTGTTGTGATCTATCAGGCCATGTTTTTGGAAATGTTGCAATGGACTCAATGAGAATTAGATTCTTTTGTTGAAATAGGGCTCATTTTAGGGACACAAATTAGGTTTGAACATGGCTTGTTTTTTGGGATGGAGGGAGTAAAAATCTTTTAGTAGCAAGACCTAATGAAGAGGCTAGAAACTTAGGTATTGTTAATGCAGCAGGTCAAAGGGCAATCCATTCACTGTTCGTCAGTGAGGACAATGAGTTTGCTTACAGGATTTCCAATAGCGAATACTTTTTGACCAACAAGCAAGTCTGCAGATACACCAATTGGTATAGGTCTTAACTTGTCTTCAGGCGCATCAATTCGAAGTACAGCAACGTCTTTATCTTGGTCAAACCCTACAACTTTTGCGTCGTGAGTACTCTGGTCAGAAAGAGTGACCCTGAATATAACAAGTAAACACACATCATATTCATTCTGGAATCCAAATCTTGAAGGAGGCAAACACTTAAAAGAATAATTGCCAATATGTCAAATACTTTGATTGAGTGAAACAAAAGAAGACCATATGAGTGACCGCACATCTTTAAGGCTTTGTATGGTTGGGAAGAATAAAAAAGAGAAGGGGAGCTAGGAGAGAATGTAGAAGTTACCTTGTTTAGTTCTTTCCCTCGTGGAGAGAAATGCATTCCTCGTCATTTCTTACCCATTACTTCTCCATACCTCTACCACCGAACAACAAAAGACAACCTACCCTATTCATCTATAATTTATCCCTGTTTTCTCACTCATGTCTCTCTTTTCTTTAAAATCTAAAGTAATTAGAATGTTGACTAGGCACATTAATCATTAAAGCATCCCCAATGCACATGTATTAACGGTGCACGCATGATAGGATGTGACAGGGGAGATATAGACACAAAAAAAATAATTAACAAATAGTCTTTCACATTCTTTCCACGGTTTAATAAATTTTCAGTTATTTTTATTCACAATGTCAAGCTCACCGTCTAGATCTTGACATTTTTCTTGACATTGTGAATAAAAAGTAACAAGATCTATTATGTTGTTGAAAGAAAGTGAGATACTTTTTATCAAGTAACTTTTTTTATGTATTTGGTTTAGATTGCCAGACTAGATTTAGGAAAGCATATACATCATCTAAAACATGCAAGTTATCCAAAAGATCTACTGTCAAAATATCAGCTAACAAAATGCCAATGGTCATGAAAAGGGAAAGTTATTAAGCTGATGTCAAACTGCTAAAAATAAAACTACCTGAGGTCTGATGCACCACGGATAACATGGTAATTGGTGACAATGTGACCATCTTTATCCCACACGAAGCCTGAACCTGAACCTTGAGGCACTTCAAACACGTTTAATGTGAACACATCCTGCCTAAATATCAAAGAGAGAGCCCAATATGGACAGAGAAGCCAACCAATAGTCGTGTGAACAAAAATGTCAAAATTTGAGAGAGAGAGAGAGAAAGAGAGAGTAAGAGGCTAAAAAATGAGCACACAGGGTTCCATTGGTTCTGCCATAATTATACGGAGTATAAATTAATTTGCTAACCACAGTCCCCAGGGAAAGAACGAAGAAGCTTATCTCACTTAAAGAAATGGGAGGATTACATAATCTTCAACAAGTTCCCCAACCACCAAAACACAATTAACTCAAAATTTGAAACAACCCAATCTCCCATGTGTTATAACCATCTCATACCATTTGAATTATACTAATTAGAAAATTTCTTAAGTAGGACTAAAACACAAGAGAAGTGCATAAACAGGACCACATACCACCAATATTTTCTTCTTAAAATATGACTCATTCACTCCTATTTGAAAAGGTTTTATACTTTTATTATGATCAAATAAGTACTATTTTGAGAATAAAACATAAGTACTCCTATTTGTGCACTTTGTTTATGTTCTAGTCCTATTTGGAGCAATTTCTTTTATATCAATCAACTACTATAATATTTATGTAACACGATTTTAAGGTTTATAGTGTTAAAACTGACAACTAGCATGGTAGCAGTAAGTGGTAAAATGCAATAACCAAACAAATTAACACCAACCCGCAATGGAATTTTGAGTTTGATTTCTAACGGGATCAAATTAAGAATACGTGCCAAAACGACGAATCACATTTTAGACACTACCTAGCCATTTTGTACAAGAATCTACACGTGATCACAATCTAGCAATAAGTATGGAGAACTACCTGGCAGCAAGATTAGTGATATAGACAACGGAAGGCGTATTCTCCTGAAAAAGCCTGACAGTAGCCAGCTCATCAGTTTGCAGCTTCCTTGGCGAAGTCACTACGAAGGCAGATGCAGCATCCACATCCGCAAGGAACAAAGAGAGAGACAAAGCTGCGGAAGTGCATGCCATGAGGATATAATCGAAAACCTTGTTGGAGCGCGATTTATCACAGGAGGAGTTACACCGAAATGCGCAAATCGTAATGCTAGGGTTGCGTCTGTCAATTAGAGATTTACAGAGAGAAAATCTGGTGCCTGTGAAAGGCGAGCGAGGAATAGCTCTGTCTCGATTCACAGTGACGAAAGAAGAAGATACGAGAGAGTGTGAGCAGGATGCCATTTCCGGCAGTCAGTGGGTGGCTCGCAGAGTGTGCGGGGACTGGATTGGTAATTATCCTGGCATGTGCAGGAATTGAGATGGCTTCTATTTTAAAAGGCGATTTTTAAAATTTTTAAAATAATTTTGAAAGAATAAAATAGAATCATTTATTAACAGATCAATAAGTTCTTTTAGAGAGGGAATAGGTAGAGCGGTCAAGTCTAGGGTTTCCTAGGGGTTTTTCCGGCGGCGTGGCTAAGCTAGTCCGGCGAAGGAAGAGTGCGGAAGACAAATTGTGGCAGCGATTTCGGTGGGGCGGCCTATCTGACCAAGAAGACGTCGGGGTGCTTGAACGTAGGGCAGCAAAAATTCTCTTCGCAACGAGAGGACGAGTTTTTGGTTTATGCGGCAAGCTTTTACGAAGGGGCGGTTGCTAGGCTTCCAGTTCTTCTGTGGCAAATTCCAGCAACAAAAACAGGTTGGTGTGCAGCAGAGGAGCTATTTGATGGAAGATTTTGTTGATCAATATAAACAGAGGACAATAGGCAAGGACAAGGAGGAGCTGATTTTCGTCGATGAAGGAGAAGAGGAGCAGTCGGTGAGCGCAAGAAAGATAGGATTTATGACGAATTTTCAGGTTTTGAATTTCCTTGCTACAATGTTATAATAGCTCACCCTCCTCCGGAACCACCTCCGTACAATAGCGGACCAGTGGAGATATTTGTAAGAATGGAGAGGAATTTTTATTTTTCTGCTTGTTATTTTGTTTTTGCTTTTTGTTTTGCCAAGACTCTTGATTCTTGAACATAGGTCAGGAGATGGGGAACTTAGTTTACTAGTCGTTGGCTCAAGTAAGCCCAATTCAGGATCAGCGAATCTGGTTGCTTCATTCGAGGTGGCAGGGCCGATCCTGAGAAAATATGGGCCCTGTGCAAAAAACAAATGTGGCATTTTCCTAAAATAACTCTTATTTAAAATTTAATAATGCTTATAATATTAAATTAAAAATTAATGTATCACTATCTAAAATAGAATTCATAAATGTAAGATGTGTTTGGAATTGAATGGATAATTTGTCAAAGTAATATTTATATAAAATATTATAAATATAGTTGATAAATCTAATGAATATTTCATAAATATCTAATTGGTTATTAATTTAATAATGGCATGGAATACAAAAAATAGTCATTACTTTGATTACATATTAATTTCAATAATTGTAGTTGATGGTATTGGGCTTAAAATCTTAAGAGTTATATCAATAATTCTTTGGTACAAAAACAAAAATTGAAAGAGTGTTAACATCAACCAATTTGGTTGACCTGGTTCACCGCCGGCGTGTGTGAGAAGGTTGGCAAGGGTTCGATTCTCCTGGCTCAAAACTTTTTATTTAAATAGTGGGATTTTACTCATTGGGCTCTAATTAGTTAGAAGGACTACAAAAAAATTGGGCCTTCAGGATTTTCGGGCCCTGTGCGATCGCACATGTGGCAATTGGCCTGGGCCGGCCCTGCGAGGTGGCAGATTCTAAGTCTGGTTCAAGGGCGGACGGTATACAGTGAGTTCTTTGCCAATTTGTACCATGCTCTTGTTCTTTCTTATTAATATAAGCCACATGCTTCCAAAAAAATTGAAAAATCAAAGAGCCTTTTGTCCAAATCACTTTTTTGCATAGTTTTCCCTCTTTAGGATTTGTTTTCTCCACTATCGTTTTTGACGAGGAGCGACCGCCGCATGCAGGTTTAGGAGTTCAAGTGGGGTGAGGCCTTGTAGAAAGCTAGCGGCTTAATCAATGCTGCTTTCAGATCGACGATCGAGTGCAGATGAGGTAGCGACCAAGGAGTTGTGGGATGAAGACTGGATCTACGGGTCTAGTGTGGAAATCAATGGAAGATATAGTTAATCAATACAAAAACATGGCAATTGAAGGGGATGGTGAAGAGTTGGACTTCGATGATGAGGAAAGAGGCGAGGAGGAGTCGAGTGATGGGCAAATACTCACTGATCAGAAGATTAAATTTCAGATTTTCAAGGATCTTATGACTTCCATGTGACGCCCAGGCAAAAGCGTGTCGATTAAGAATATAGGCGATATGAGGTATATCTTCACTATTTATCATATAGTGGATATGAGACGTGTTTTAGAGGGTGGTCTGTGGTTCTTTGAGAGAAATTTGTTCGTTCTCAAAGAAATCAAGCCAGAAGATATTCCTCTCAAGATTAGCGTAAATGAGGTTGAGGTTTGGGTACAGGTTCATAATGTTCTCTATGGTTTAATGAATTTAGGAACTACTGGGAGGATTGGTACCTATATTCAGAAGTTTGTTAATTATGATGAAAGTCGGTTTGATGAAAAATGGGAGTCTTATATGCACATTAGGGTTTGTATGGATATAGATAAACCCCTGAAAAGGGGAACGACCCTGAAGAAAGGAGGGAATTGGCCATTGGGTTGATCAGATATGAAAAACTCCCAAATTTTTGCTTTATCAATGGGATTATTGGTCATTCTGACAAGTTTTGTCTGTTAGTGTATGAGGGGGATAATATAATATTGGATCAATCTTATGAATGGAATCTTAGATTTGGGGTGCGGGGGAGATCCTACCGGTGGAAACAGTGGCTAGTTGAATGGTCCTCAAGTACAGGTGTGGGAAAACAACAAAAGAGTGATAGCCAGGTTATAGGAGGACAGGGCCAGCGGCGATGGGATGTTTCGATTTTGAATCTAGGTTTTCGACGATGCGAAGGACCATATCAGGGAGGCTAGGAGGGGTTGTGAGATGCAAGACCGGGAGGCTTTGGAGGGCGGTTTGGGGAGGTAGGGGTAAGGTGAGGTAATTACAGTGTGGGAGCTGGGGAGGGGTGGGATAGTGGTGGTCCTAGACAGGGGGTCACATGTCATTGTGGGTTGGGTAGCAAGTCACTGTCTCTTGGTGGGTGGTGGCCACTGGTCGATGGTGGCCGGTGGAGGTCAGTGGGTCGACAGAGGTCACTATGGGCGGTAGTGACTGGACGAGGTGGTGGCGACGGTTTGTGGCGGTTAAAAATTGGTCACTAGGAATGGCGAAGCCACGGCCATCGATGGTTACTGTGGCCGCCGCTAGTAACTGTTGTCACCATAAGTGGTGGGGCGGAGGTCACAAGACCGGGCTGGGGTCACTATCGGTGGAGGCGACCGGCTGGAGCGACGTCAGTGGTTAACTGTGGCAGCTAGGAGCGGAACGAGACTTCACTACAGGGGGGATATAATACAAGTATTAAAATGTAAACAGAAATCTACAATTTTGGTACCATAAATTTACCATGTGCCCGTTTTTAGTCCTGATACTTCACTTACTCATAAATTTGGTCAATTAATTAATAAGTTTTTGCAATTTAAGTGTTTTCCCACCGAAAAATACACTTTCCTAGATATAATTCACCCAATGTCGATTTTTTGCCATAAAGTATACTTCTAGGTAAAAAAAATTCTTAAACTGCAAAAACCTGTTAGTTAGAGGACCTAATCAACATGCGAGTAAATATTATTATAATTCACTCAATGTCGATTTTTTGCCATAATGGGGACAACAAAAAATTATAGGACCCTAAATATCGCAAATAATTGGGGGGGGCATGGTCTTCATAATTTTTTGGGGGCCCTAAATAATTTCTAATAGTATTATTTTAAAAAAGTTGGGGGGGTGGCCCTCTTATCCTATTACTTGCCCCCCGCCCCTGGTGGCGGCGATGGTGAGGTGAGAGGGAGTGGCGATGGTTGCTGAAAATTTATGTGACTAACGTTTGTAAATGTGACTGCAACCCGCTTGGTCATTGAGCTATTTGTCACTAGTGTTTGCCACTAAGCTATTTGTCATTGGTGTTGGTCATTGACACTAGGGGTGCAAATGAGCCAAGCTGCTCGTGAGCTGCTCGGTCAAAACTCGACTCGAATTCGAGCTGGCTCATTAAACAAACAAGCCGAACTAGAGCTCAGTTCCTTTGAGCTCGCAACTCGCAAGCCATAATATATAAATGATTAAATGAATAAATAAATAAATAAATAGTAAATAAATAAATAAATACATAAATAAATAAATGAATGATAAATACGAATTATATGATTATATATTTATTTGTGTGTATATATTATATTGATTTATTTATTGATGTTTATTTCTTTGTATATTTTAAAGTTTAATTGATAGTAAAATAAGGAGTAAAAAAGTGAGTGAAAGAGGGAAACTAAAAAATTAGAACGATTAAGTAAAAATATTAGATATCATTTATCTAATATATGAATACAATTTAATAATTTGCAAAATAGAAATTTTATTTTTAGCTCGAATTCGAACTCAAGTTCGAACTCGATTTATTTAGATCATACAAGCTCCAGTTCGAGTTCGAGTTCTTTAATTCTTATCAAGCTCAAGCTCAAGCTCAAGCATCACCCCTTATTTGACATATTGAACAATTCATTATAGCGGGCGGGTAAATAATTAGTGACTGTAAGGAGTTAGCTGATTAATTAAGAGTATAACAATCTCTTTAGTCTTTTTAGTCACATTTTTTGAAATTAAAAAAAGGCTTTTTTGTCCATACTCTCTGTTTAGTACTCTCTCCGTCCTTTAAAACTTTGCTAACTTTCCTTTTTTGGATGTCCCACTAACTTTGCCACTTTCCCTTTTAAGTAAAGAATTTGTGGTTCAAGTTAATTCTCTCTCCTCTACACAAACCTCAATCACACAGTTTTTACTTTATTAATCCCCGTACCGGTCAAACTTGGCAAAGTTTTAAATGACGGAGATAGTAATATTCATGTCATAACCCCATATAAAAATCCCAAACTTTAAAAAAGTCATGTTAGCATCATGTGATGGAGTATATGGTCCGGGACACCCCGGCCCACAGACTCCTGCTTCTTCTACACAGGCCCATCAAGCCCGATGAGCATATGTAGTGGCCCAAGCATGAAGAAGCCCACGCTGCACACGTGGATGCCTTCGACCCTATGCCTGAGAGCTCCAAATTCTGGGAGACATCTTAATATGGTCCTGCAAAGCTTCTGGGAAATCCTGGCTAAAATGTTAGCCTTCGGCCACCCGATTCCTTCGGC